ACATATATTGAGGAGGTACTTGGGCATTATCCCAATATTATTAAACACTAAAAAATATAATTTTTACAACTCATACATGCATGTATGCTTTATAAATCATACAATTTTATTCATTGATTTGTTTTTTATATTTGGTTGTAGGGTCTTATCCCTGTGAATGGTGTGGATCCAAGAGCACTAGTTCCCATAGTACCCAAAGAAAAGAAGGTCCCTCCAACTGGTGACAAGGTAAAAAATGGAGATTTCTCAGGTGACAATAATAATGTCAAAAAATGAAAGTTATTAGACTCCTTGAAATAAAAGTTGTGGTTTGCATCTTTGTATTTTAATTTTGTGTTGTTTTGTTTTGAACAAGTAGTAGTACTTTATGAGACTTTGTGGTTTTATTTCAATGTAATGTTATAATGATGCACCCTCTTTTATTGTATGATCTTGTTTTTAGTAATGTGCAAGTACTATTATCTTTGGAATCTATATTTTATTGCTTTGATATAAAGTTGCTAGCTTGATTAGTTTAAGATTTCTTTGATAAATTTCTTGTTTTGTGATTGTTGCTAGTTGTATTTTTCTAAGATAATTATACTCTTGATTCTTAACTTTATAATTATAGGTGCACTCTTATCTTGTTTATGGTTGTTACATGTCCTAAGAATGTGGATATTGCTAATAGTTTCGTATTTTTTATCCAATTTTTTTGTTATATTAACCAGATAGATACACGTACAAAACATGTGCTTAGTGATCTTCAAAATATTATTATTTGGGATATAGTTAAAAATAAAAATTCTTTTTTATGAAGAGAGATCATACGAGAAATACGATCACTTTTATTTTCTTTTGATAGGGTTTCGTTTGTCTAGTTTTATTAGTTTATGGCTTCTAATTTCTAAATTTTAGGGAATATACTTATCGGATGAAATATTCTTAAGGATAGTATCTAGTTTCTGGACGCCTTAAGTTTTGGTGATCTTCATACAAATGTCCATAATGAAGTATTTTTCGTAAAATATTCAACAATAATTATTTTCAAATTGTCTTTGCTAATACATAATGTAATCATATCCATCGCAGAATTATGATTTAATTAGGCTGATTATTAAAAATAAGAAATTTATTGTTGTTAATAGAAAATATTTTAAATAAAGGATACTTTATAAATATGCTTCGAACAGAAAAGTGAAAATCACAATTCATAAGTGCGTGCTTATTTACAAGTCGAATATAATACAATAAAAGATTAAAACATGATCAAACATTAAGTTATAAAAGCAAAACATGTTTGTTAGAAACATTCTAAGAGTATAAATAAACTAAAAGTTCAATATTTTTAGATACTTACTTTTTGTTATAATAAATAAAATATTCATATACGTGCAATATATGTGCTTAGTGATAAAATGATGAAGGATTAAGGTTTGTAAAAAATAATGATACGTCTGGTGATTCTTTTTAATTCGTAGATATCCACATCAAAGTTATAATTAATGATGTAATTAAATAGTAAATTATATAAATAGATTTTAAGGAGAAAGTGAAAGACATATTAGAACTTCAATTAAGAAACTCACATTTGTAGATTTTATAAAAAAAATAATTTATACGTACAAGATATGTGCTTACTGATGAGCTATATTATCACAAAGAAAAAATAAAAACAAAAATGTTCGAAATTTTCATTATTTTATCGATATGGGACATTCCATTCATCAGCTATCCTATTTAGTTCTTTTTCAAGAAGTAACATTGAGTCCTTTTACCCTACCTGTATACAAGTGAGACAAGTTTGATGATCCAATATTTTGTACTTCTATATTGCCAAGATTCATAAAATTTACATAAAAAAGCATAAATTTGACTTTTAATAAATATAAATAATAGAGAAAAATGACTACTATAAATATGGGCGTTTATAGGTTGTTATTTAATTAAAATTTTAAAAAAAATGATTTAGTTGATTTTTATATTATTAAAATTAAATCAATTTAAAATTTTCTTCTTTTGTTGTTCTTTGTCCTGTGGTGCAACTACTTTATCTTCTTCTTTTATGAGCTTTTAACAACAAATTAAGAAAAGGAAAATATTGAATGGATTCTTGAAAAAATAATATGATTCAAAATATGTGTTCTTTTCGGCAAATGTATATTTTAATATTCAAATATTAAGACATCTTAATCTGTTTTTTTTTTAAATGAGGCTTGAGTGATCCAAATGATGTTAATAAGCTATGATATTCTTATTATATAATTAATATAAGGGAAACTTGCATAAATAATATAAAGAAATATTTACCATTTATATTAATGGGCTGGTCGTTGGCATCAGTAGCCCAGCCCAGTATGTTAATATTAACTCTGGGCCTCATATGAGCTTCAAAGAATGATTCGAGATTCTTGCAAAGTAAAACCATATACTACCAGACACGAGATAGATCTTCCAAAGAACAAAGCCGAGGGAGGGGGGAGATCCTAGTTTCAACTTACAAGAGAGTGTCTAAATAGTAAGGCATATTCATTAGAAGAAAACAAAAGAAGGATCTTATGGTTTATTTGAGCAGGCAGCAAAATATGATGAAAAAAAACAACATAATTGGGAAAGAAATTCCAAATACATGAACTAATCCAATACTAAAACATATGTCAAAGATCACTATAGCATCTCAAAAAGAAGATGCACAATCATCATTCAAGAAGAATTAGAGGCAATCATGTCCTAAACTTGCTCAAGCCTTGACTTGCTAGATTGCTTCTCCTCTTGGTGAGACTTGCCATTTGACTCATCAAGGTTTGATTTCCTTGTGAATCCCTTCTTCTCACAGTAGATTGCATATAAGATAAGTTGCACTGTTCCTAAACCAAAACCAAAACCATTTGGAATCTGCAATGCAACACCACCATATATCTTGTTTAGCAACCATAGTTTGCCATATACATACTCAACAAACAGCTACTTACAGCAACAAAAGGGTCCTTGCCAAGAAGGCCAAATGCAAACCAGGAAGCGCCACATAAGAACACAAACAACGACAAGAAAAATGGCATGAACTCCACGCTCTTCGTCTTGATCACCAGTCTCTGTATACATAAATTCTTGAGTTTAAACTATGGTGAACTAATCACTTATGTTAAAATTGAACATCTAGTAGCACTACTCATCCCAACAGACTATGATGAAGTAACCAATATACAATGCTCGAGAAAGAGCACGAAAGGAACTTACTATGATGGATAGAGGAGATCCATACATAATGATAGAGAAGATGGTGGCAGCGATACCACAAAAGAGCTTCCTTTTGCTTCCATGTAAACCAAGCATGGAAACAAGGGCTACAGCAGCAAAAACAGTAAGGACTAATAGAAAAAGTGCTGAGATTTTCTTCTTCTCTTTAGTTGGTGCAAATGCAATGAAGATCAGCACATAAATGGTCTCAATTACAGCTCCAGTCCCATTGATTGTAGACACCAACAGATTATTTGGTGACACAAATGGTAAACCATACCTATCCAATTTGATACACAAAAACAAACCATGTATCACTTCTTTACTACAAAATCAATATGAGATAATGTAACACTACTAACATGAACCAAAAACAATGTTTCTCGAAAAACGTTAAATCAGATCCAGTGCATTTTTGGAGGATCCGACACCAGTACAACAACATAGACCATAGTTGAACAATTTTTAACATCATGTCAGCAAGATTCTTGAAATGACTATAATTTAACAGAACACTATTTAACAAAAAGCATATATAATAATACAAATGGTTTAACCTGAAAGATAAATACAACAATGTTATATAATCTTTACCATGCAGAAAGAAGGCAGTTGAGTAAAGTCATAACGTAAGGCAAGCCAGAGAATTGTTCAGTAGATCGATTTTGTATAACCCTCTTGAATGTGATTCTAAAAGAAGAAGATAATAAAAAATGTTATAACAGATTCATGGAGAAAAGCCCCAATTTTTTTTTTCTCAAACAAAAAGCAAGAAGCCATTTTTAAGAAAAAAGCTCTCTCACATTGGTGCCAAGAACAGAAACAGAGCAGTGGCATTTCCTGCAAAACAGAGAAGATGAAACTAAGAATGTAAATTACAGAAAATGAAAACAAAAATCTTGAAGAAGAGTGAAAACCCACCAAATATCCCAAAAACAAAATGCAGAGTATGAACAACACCCATGTCTTTCTTCACTTTTGCAGTACAGAGTAGCAATTTCTTTGATTCAGAGACGAAAAAGATTGGTTTTTTTGAAGAAAACCCAAGTGAAGAAACTTAACAAACTCTCCAAGAATTTCAAAAAATTGAATACCCAAAGGAGGAAAATGAACAATAAGTCGAATATATTTATGAAAATGAGTCATAGTGAAGGGTTTATATATAGGGCCAGAGCCCAGAGGCAGAGCAGTTACTGCTAAAAGACACCCTTTTCTTGTCCTTATCTTCTTAATCAGTTGGGTCACTCTTCTGCCAAATCAAAACCGTTTCTGTGCGCCAAAAATTTCGATTACATTTGAATTCACGCTCAAAAATTTATATTAATCATAAAATACGATCGTTAAGAATAGAAGAGTATGTATACTTATTTGACTGTAATAATTGTTTTATAGTTATGAATACGAAGTTACAAATTGGAGGAAAAAAAAGACGGAATGACCTGACATGCTTATGTATTTGAATTCCACATATATAACGAGTGCACTACACACACTCATCGAATGAAAAAAAAGTTTAAAATATTTTATTTTAATGAATTTAAGAATTCAAAGTTACAAACGAATTCAAATACAAGACTTTCTTATGTCATTCCGAAAAGAAGAAAACACAGAAGAAAAAAGAATATATCTTTCTTTTTATCCCTTTTTTCTTTTAATTAACCATTTCGTGTCAAAACTCAATTGTTAGTTGGTTTCGTGCCGTAAAAAGTTCACTATGGGAGTAATGAGCATAGCAGAGCAAATATATGTTTATGTATGAATATATCTGACATAAATTATTTTATCCTTTTATATATATTCTATTCGAAAATAAAATTTTTATTAACTTCGAGTCATAAATTTCTATCTTATTCCGAATAATGTGGTTCCAATAAATTTGGAAACGAGACACAATACTTCGATAAATAAAGCCATTATGGATACATTTTTCTATTTTATGTGTCACGACATCATCGAACTTCTTCCTAAATACTATATATTCATTCTACATGCAACCATATGTACAAGTTATTTTTCTCTAATACAAAATATTTAATCTATCAAATTTATCTCTAGTAAGGAAGATTCTATTCCCAAAACTAGAATATATACAAACATTTTTAGGTGGTAGAAGGGGAAAAGTTTATATATCTACTCGTATACGTTTAAAATTAAAAAAAATATATAAATACAAAATAAAATGTAATTAGATGACACATTTATCTAGTAAAAAGACAACATATTGATGATATCTCAAATTTGAAAAATATAAAAATAAAATATGTTCAGCAAAAC